TTTATACCATACATAGACGGTGCTATCTATTGTACGGCGACCCTGTCTAAAGACCATAAAAACCACACGCTACGCGCATATAGGCTTGCCCAACAGAGGAATTGTCTTGCTGTGTAGTGGGTGCGGTTGAGGGTGCTGCAGCCTATGTTTTGATGGGACTTATGGTAAATGGTACGAGCACGGTGCATCGAATGAGGTGAACGATTACCGGTGGAAAGCTTACAAGGAGCAAAGCCAACTGATGAGTTGCGCTCGTGTAACAAACTCCACACTACCAAAACATTCATCGTCTTGTACTACAGAGAGCGTAGTACTTGTTTTGTGCCTTGGTGGCCGAAAGGCCAGCTTCTTCACCCGGTTCGCCTGGGATGTGTTCGGGTAATCCTGGGATGCGTTGTCGGAAAAGACAAACACGGCAACACAAGCAACATTAACGTGCTCCTCCCCCTCCTGTCCCTCTTCCCTTTCTTCTCCCTCTTCTTTCGTCTCTCCCTCCTTTCCCTTCTCTCGTTCCTCTATTTTCGCTCTTTTTTTCCCTGGACGCGTCTCCTCTCCCTCCTCTCCCTCCTCTTCCTCCTCTCCCTCCTCTCCCTCCTCTCCCTCCTCTCCCTCCTCTCCCTTCTCTCACCCTCCTCTCCCTCCTCTCCCTCCTCTCCCTCCTCTCCCTCCTCTCCCTCCTCTCCCTCCTCTCCCTCCTCTCCCTCCTCTCCCTCCTCTCCCTCCTCTCCCTCCTCTCCCTCCTCTCCCTCCTCTCCCTCCTCTCCCTCCTCTCCCTCCTCTCCCTCCTCTCCCTCCTCTCCCTCCTCTCCCTCCTCTCCCTCCTTTCTCTGTGAACACTTTGCTCATTTTTCTTGCAGATGCGTATCCCGGTTTCAAGGTTCAACTCTGTACACGTCCCCTCCTGCAGTTCTCAAGTACAACGTTATATGTTTTATTACTAGTCCTTCTTAACTGAGTTCTCTTCTTTGCTTGCCGCTTCATGTTGCCATTTTTTCGGGCGTCACATCCCATACGTCGATTTGCGTCATGTGAACTTTTGTAACCGCCTTTTGCTCGGCCAGTACTTCACACTGTACATCTTCCTGGCTTCTGCGCTTTGCATTTTACCGTGTTTTCTCTCTTACTCAATAAGAGCGCGCTTCGGCGGCGCCTCCGGTTGCCTGCGGATTGCGATGGATGTCTCAGTCCGAGCATGCTCGTCCATTCTTTATCCAATATGTCAGCCAAAAACTTTACCGACGTCTGGGTGCGTGTCACTGTCCCTGAGCTGTCAGCACATGTACATGGCCCATAAAGTGTGATACGAACGGATTTACCAAAAACGAGTTGTGCGTTTGCAGATGACTATCTATATGCATAATAAAATGCAAAGATGTCGATGACGTGCCTATTCACCTCGTTGTTCGCCATTTTCATTGCCGCACGTTTCTCTATTTGTATTTCCCTGCAATTCCTTAATTGCTTCCTGGTACTGGTCCGGCCAAACAGTTATTTCGGCCTCATTCCCTCCATTGACTGTCATACACTTAAGATGCTGTTCGCTCGCTCACAGCGCAATAAGCACATGTCCACAGACCGTGTCTAAGAGTTTGCTCCTCCCGTGTCCCCCCGGATGCACAATTATTGCCTTTTGTAGATGCAAGGTGCGCACAACAGACGCCCAGGCCCATCACGGCATTAACCGTCAATGGCATTGTGTCACAGTATTCCTTCCAGACAGTCTCCTATGATGGTAATGTGTACGGCGTGCTAACGATTAAACGCATTGACTCGTTGTTCCAAAGCATACCGGACGATGGGCTGTCCGTGTGCCTGACTTTGAACAAGGCGGCTAGCGGGTGCAGTAGGCCTCGGGCTCTGTTCTTCGGTCCCACCATCCTGTACCAGATCACCAGCATTGACTTCGCATGCTGCCCCACGTCGGAGGCGCCAAACTCGTGATGGCATATATGCATCATTGCATAGCATGGCTTAAGCTTGACCGCATACAGATACACCAGTGTCAGCCGGTGCATGTGCGCATGGCTATGCACGCACACGCATGTGCGTGATGTTCAATGAGTTTCAAAACACTAAGACGTGGTTGAATGCGTACGGTGTGTGCACGATGAGCAAGCATGCACATGTATGTATGTATAGCACCACTGGACAGGCAATGCATAAGTGCACAGAAAGAAGTGGTTGCATCATGGTTGCACCGCTACTTCCCATGTCCAATTTCCCTTGGCAATTTAGAATACATGTAGCTGGCCATGGGATATTGGTTTTTATGAGTAGTTGCCGTACCGCTCACGTAGGCCCCTTCCAGACGAAGAAGTACCTGCAGCCAGGAAAGATGTACTTGCAATTGCTTCATCCGTGGGAGGGGGCGAGCATGGTTACCGAATACGGCTCTCCTTCTGTATGCTGTGTTTTAGGCAGAAACCTGTCATTACTGACATTATGAAGTTGCGAAATTGCACTTTCCGTCGCACTCTTGCGATTAACTCTAGCCCTTTACTCGCGCTCGGCAAATACACAGAAAACCTTGGTTTTCCTTCATTTCACTCAGAAAAAGCTACAGTTGTCAATAATCATCGCCATTAATCTAGCTGTTTGTATGTACACATATCCGCATACTTTGCAAGATTTACGGATTTTTTTGCATACTTTGCAAGATTTTCAAGCTCCGCATGAATGCAGGGGTGTTGTATCCTGACTACAGAAAAGTACCGATCAGTGGGTGTCAGATTCCGGGATACGCCCTCTGGGGGCATTCGATAAAGCAAGCAGGCCCGCTGGCCACCTAGGGGGCCCATAGACGGTTATATTTTAATTTATTTTTTTACCTCGCCATGAACTGATGCTCCAAAGCGGTTCCATCCTGCCACACTCAGAGATAACGAAGGGGTTCTACCATTTGGTGAACCACGTGTGGGCCGTTCATAGGGGCCCGTGGGAATGGTGCGTGCAGCAGCAGATGGGCGGCCTCGCGGGGTGTCGGTGATTCGGCGGGTGGGAGCGGTGGCAGCATAGGAGGTTGTGGAGGCAGGGCAGTAAGGGGGAGGATGCAGGAGCCGCAGCAGGAGTTTTACACGTGGCCAACGAAGCGTAGACGAGGTTTAGGTAGGCGGGAATTCGCTTTTGGTGTAGGTGATTTGCAGCCAGGTTATTATTAGCTTTTGGTGTGATGATGATCACAAGTTGTGTGGCCGACACTTCTTTGAACATGTGATGAAGGTCATCTCTTGCAAGGGGTAGTCACTTCTGAAGGTCTTGGGGAAACCACTTTTAGTTTCCTTGTGTGCCCATATGAAGATCAGGTGAAGTAGTTCTGCTGGTGGTGGAATAAGATAGGTGCGACATTTTTTATTGACTAATCCGCCAATCGCTTGTATGCCAGAAGACAGTTTCGGGAGCCTGGCAGATACCTGCATGGACAAAATGCTAGTAATAACCCATAATTGTTACCCCAACCATTACATCGCTGGTCCCCCCATTGAACACATGGACGGGTTCCGTTCATATTTCCTCGACGTGAATTTTGTCGTTCCTGCTGCATGCAAAAGAAAGGAAATTCTCTGCGACAGAGAATGCAGAAGTAGCTAGTGCAGGTGGGCCTGGGAGTGTGTGTGTTGTAAACCTGAGGTGTTCTACGCTAGTTCGTCCAATCCTGTCGACACCTGAGGCGATACCGTTAGGGTAGTTGTCGTGGTACGAGTTCATCTCTTGATCTCTGGTGAAGTAAGTCGCTATGGCTGTTCTGTCTTAGTTCTATGGATACCTTTTGGTCACAGAGTCAATACACTACCAATGTAACAGTCTGCTGTTTCCCTACTTGTCAGTCCCTTGTGTCCGGCCCACTACGCCGTTTACAACAGTGTGGAAAGGGTGCAGCAGCAAATGCATTCGTGTTCGTATTCGGTTAGTAAGCAGTTTTTTTGGCACTTCATACCTCCATATCTTCGTTTAGGTATTTGTAAGACAGTTCGTATTAGCATATTGTTTGCCAAACTGACCAGCTGCGTTTCAAGCTATTTCCCGCTGAGCTGAGCCTTGCGTAAGCCTTAAGAGACAAAGAGGAAGGTCTCAAGCAAGCAACGCTTGTTACAGTCGGCGCAGCTAGTACGCAACTTCCACTCCACGAACAACGGCACGGCAGACAGTTGCACTACTACGACAAGATTGACACAGAATTCTGGTCGAAAAGTCTGCCCATGCGGACAGGCTTCTGACGCATTAAAGAGTGAGTTTTTGCTCCGTCTCTGGTCATAACCTCTGCGAGGTTTAGACCAAGGGAGATGTAGACGTGCGCGCAAACTTAAAAACTCGACATAGTCGCCCCAAAGGCGGTTCGAGCGAGTCAGTTGCGTTTTACTGAAAGCCCGGCGGCTGAAACAACTTCTACCTCTTGCGAGGCACTGCGGTGCCTGTAACGTGCAAACCCTGTCGGATGCCGTCCGTCATCATTCGTTTGGCTCGTGATTGTGACATGGTTGCGAACCCTGTGCTGAACCCTGTGCCGAATCTATTACCTCCCCTGGAGCCGAAATGTTTCTTTTGTTGATCCTTCCCGCAGTCCCAGTCCAATACCGCGGCCTGGCTCTGCCCCAAACCCATCGGTGCGAATGCATTTGATTGACAAGGCATGCATAAGAGCAAAAGCCTATGTGCTACCACCTCTTCTCCTGTTGCCTCTTTTTCTCCCTTGCGCTCACGTTCTTTACCTCTTTTCTCTCTCTCTCTCTCTCTCTCTCTCTCTCTCTCTCTCTCTCTCTGTCTCTCTCTCTCTCTCTCTGTCTCTCTCTCTCTCTCTCTCTCTCTCTCTCTGCTCATTAGTGTAACTAGCTACACTAATTGGACGTGTCGTGTTGTGTCAATGGGGAGCCAGCCGCGCCGTTGCCATGGCACTGTTTCTTCGAAGGTGCCACTATTGCAAAGTGTTTCTGATCCACAAGCACCAGCCGCAACGCGCCGCTGCGCCGCCGCTGCGCCTCCATCGTCTTAGTCGCCACGAAGTCCATTGCTCTGCGGTTGGTCACGGGGGTACGTGTCAAGGATATGTAAGGTGTCGTACCTGACATCTGCCCTGAGGCTCTCCACGTCTTTTACTGGCCTAATATGCGCCAGAGCACCATTATGCCGAGCTGCTTCCTATTGGGTGTGCATCGGATGTCCAGTTCGCTGGCGGCTTTCTCTTAGAATCAAGAGTTGGTCACTGGCCAGCCCTGGAAAGCTGCGGAATTGAGGACGGAGCCCAAGGACGGCCGCTGTGTGCAACTGTGTGGCCCCTTTCCTGGCACCTAAACGGTCAGAGCAAGCTTAAGCTGGCAACTGCATAGCCAACACGCGTTTGGCTTTGTCCTTGCTTTCCTTGCCCGCTCCCCTTTCACCTCGCAGCTACAGCGTGCACCCCGAAAGGAGGATATTTTCGCGTGCCTTCAGTGTATTCCACAATGGGAGGCACGCGCACGCGCGGCACACAGTGCCTTCAGGCACACAGTGGCACAGTGCCTTCAGGCACACAGCGGCACGGTATCTAGAGCTCTACCGGATTGTCAATGCTGATGGGGCCCCCCACATGCCGCGCACCGACCGTTTCCTCACCCAAGCAAGCTCTCCACCCACTGGCAGTTCTCCCACCATCAGCATGAACTGCCACGAAGGCAAGCCGTGCGTTCTTTTATGTGCAAGGCACAGAACTGTATGCTATCACTTTAGCGCTACAAACGCTCTTTGCCTGACTCTCTCACGGCGCTGAAGGCAATTCCAAACGCTCGCTTTGTCCCATCCGTCCCTCACCGCTTGACTGCCGCCTTGAGCTGCGTGACATCAAGGTCCAAGTTGTCATACAGCACATCTTCGTAGTAATTTCCCGCACCCGAGGCCATATTGCGGAAGACGTTGCCCCCGCTTAGCTGCACGTACCAGTGGGGGAGGGAGTAAAGAGCGGGGAGTTGCAGGTCAAAGTTGGGTGTCAAAAAAGTAATGCCCCGTGTGTGGTGCCCATGCAGCTTATGTCCACCTCGCAGCAAAGGCAACAGTACTTCAAAATGTTCAGAGCTCGAATGTAAGGAACTCCGTGCCAAGGCGCAGGCACCCATACATCTGGAAAGGAAAGCGGTTAGGTTGCTGCATGACGCTTCACCGCAGCTTGCATGCCACCACAGCATGCACACGATTTGCATCCCCTGTTCGCCCTGATGTCCGCAGGGCTCACTATTTATCGGAGGCTTGCATACCGCTGCCGCTGCTGCTGCTGCTGATGATGATGATAATGATGATGATGCACGTCAACTCACGCATCCCCCGATAACCGCACGATACGATTGAAGGTTTGGGTTCCCTCTCAACTTCGAACCCACCAGGCCCCAACTCCTCATGCCTTCCCACGGCCACGCCACACAGTACAAAGCCGCGCAAGCTATACAGGCATTCTGCACCGATTCCTCAAAGCACAAGCTCCGGCCTACGACAACAACAAGGAGGACTTACCCTTGCGAACGACTGGCCCAGCAGCTGCAGTACGGCACTCTGGCCCGGCGGCATGAAGTAGCCATGCGCCAGGCCGGCGCTTTGTATGCCCACTAACACACCAGTGCGGAGCATTGTCCGCACATGCACGTGAAACAACTCCTCATCGAAGTCGGCCTCTTCAAACCTGAACAGCACGTTGGTACGCCGGCAGTTGTTGCCGTTGGCCGTGTCAAGGTCCCACAGCTTGTCCAGCAATAGAATGTTATTGCCGACCTTGTAAGGGCTTTGACCCCCAGCCCCAGCCCCGGCCCCGCCGCCGCTGCTGCTGCGGCCGTCCTCGTCAACCCCCTCCTCATCGTCGCCGGCCTCTTCACTATACTCGTTGTGACCGTACTCGCCACTGTCACTGCCATCGCCATCATCACCGCTGAAGCTGCTACTTCCACCGCCCTGCAAGTCTCGACGCCGCCCCAACCGAGCCTCTGTGGCGTCGGTGAAGCTTTCCCTCTGCCCATGGTCGAGTTGCTTGTGCCGTACATGCTGCGGCTCATGGACATCTCGTCCCTGCGGCAGCTGTGTGCTGCGGTTTAAGAGGAGGCTCCTACGGCTTCCCTCCTCCGCCGCCAAGGTGGACGTAATGTTGGGGTCCATTCGCCGAGCCGTGACCACGCTGACGGCATGCACTCCGTCCACAACCGTCAGCGATAGCTCGTACGCCTGTAAGCCAGAGGGTGCATACGGAGGACCCACGCTTTGCCTCCCGCTTCGCACCCAAATCCGCGAGACACACCCTTCAGCAAGCGCAGAGTCAGACACTTGTCGCCGTTTTTCATCATTCGCTCCGCCAGGATAATCATCCAGGTGGCTGTAGACCTGACAGCCCGGAACCTGGCGCCGGTGTCAGTTCGGACGCCTAGTTTGCCCTTGAACACGTGTACGGCATAACCCGCTCCTTCGACAGGCAGTCGTCGTGCTGTAAGTATGTCTGTCTAGGTCATCTATCGTGTACAGCCGGCCAATGGTGTGCAGTTGAGTGCTCCCGGGTAAGAAGCTCGTGGTTGTCGTGAACTCTTTCTCCCCAGGCCCCCTGGCTCCCTAATATGCAACGAACTCCTGGCCGAGCTGTAGTCACGTGGGTCAGAAATCACCATGAGACATTCCCAGGCGCCGCACTGCTCGTCCTGTCGAATCCTAAATCGACACTGTGCGTCCTGATATCATCGAGACCTGTGTGTCCTGATATCATCGAGTCCTGTGTGCGTCCGGATAATGATTACGCAAAAACGGATGCCATTTCATGAATGAATACTGTCCTGTGGGAAGTCCTTCCCGCAGCTCATGCATACCAGACAGACGTACAGACCACATACAGACAAGAGCAGGGCTGCCTAGGCACACCGAAGACTTCACCGGAATCCTTTCAAACCGCTCACCGCTTTGACATTTTTGTCGAAGCGCTGCAGCAAACAGCTCTCCGCGTTCCACTCCTGAACGGCAGCTTGAATGCCCGCCACCACTGCCACATCGTTGCGCACCATCCGCATGAACCTCCCGGCCGTCGACTCGTTCAGCAGCACCCTCACAATGTCTGAGCTCCTGTGTGGGGCAGGGCCGAAGAAATCCCAGTAGGGAAAAGGGAGCTTCGACAGAAAACGAATTCTTTGGACACGAAAATGAAACAAGCAGCGCAGCGCTTCCTACACTGCTCAGCCATTCCGCATCTACTCTACACACACTGTGCTTGTTTCGGTAAACGTCTGTATTAGATTCGTCAACCTGTGTGTGTATGTGTGTGTATATGTGTGTATGTGTGTACATCTCGCTGCTCAATTCTTTTAAACTCTCCCTCACACGCACCTACACAGACTCACACGTGCAGGACATGCGCTGCACAGAACACGCACACAGCTACAAGGGCAGCGACCACATCACGGCCGTCTCTTTTTGCCCCACACAAGCTCTGCACCATCTCCTCACCGCCCTCAATCCCTACCTCCTACTAAGCCACACCACATTTCTGAGCACGATGCCACCTGCAGGCGGTCGCAGACCTCGGATGCCTGCCTCCTCGGCCGCCGGCCCTGCCACCACCTCAGCCGACAGCGCTGACGTGGGCGTAGACCGCGACGCCCACGGGTCGGCTTCGCCGTACAGGTGCCGCAACCAATTGCTGAATCCCGTGACCACCGAACTCACGCAGGAGACGCCATCGGGGTCGGTGTTGTATCCGATCCCGCCGGCGAACGTGTAGATGTGGAAGGCAGAGCGGAAGCAGGTGTTGGGCGGGAAGGGATCGTTCATCAGGATGCGCAGCGGGTACGGGCGGGAGATGCGCGCCCACATCTCTAAAAAGGCCATAGGGGGCGCAAGGTCGACAATCACCACCTGCACAGCGTCAATGGCGGCATTGCCGTACGGCGGCGACGTCAATCGCAACAAACCTGATGTCCACCATGAAGTGTATGTATGTATGTGCTGCAATCCCCGATGTTGTCGGACATACGTACATTTGTATGTGTGATGTGTGGGACAGGGGCCCATATCTTCATCCTGTGGCCGCTACCCGGCAGACCCTGCCTTCCCCGGTATTTCGGGGCATCCTCATCCAGCCACCCTAGCCAACTTCTCAGTGGATTGCTCAGGTTCTGCACCCACCACCAGCATCCAACGGAATCTGCCGGATCAACGGCGACTCAACTCCATTCTTGGTCAGCTCGCAGGTCAACTTCATCCAAAATCACCACCGTCATCGACTAGGGGCACTTTACCTTTCACCATTGGAAGAATTTTTGACCCTGACAGGTCTCGATCCCGAGATCTCCCGGGGCAGTGATGCGTATTCTACCAGTAGTGCCTAACCTATGTGTTGTATGTACATACATACATATGTATTCTATGTACATACATACATAGGTTAGGTACTACTGGTAGAATACGCATCACATACATATGTACATATGTATGTATGCATTAGGTCAGGGCCTTCGGAAACGGGGTCTCCGATCCGCCGGGATATCCCGCACCGCACCTGCAATCCATGACGCCCAACATCTTCCGGATCGAGCGCCGCCAGGAAAGCAAAGACCATGGAGGCCGCCTCCATCTCATGGGCATAGTTGGCGTGCCGTTCCCGCATCACGAACAGCGTAGGCGTCGTTACCAGCGAAGAGGAGCTGGAGGCACACGCCTGCTGGACGGCCGAGCTGTCCTGCACGCCGGCAAAGAGAAGTGACATCGAGGCGGCGGAGCAGCGACAGCTGTGCTAGGGGACCAGGCGAACGGGGAGAGGGTGCCGTTCGCTTTCCCTCTCATGTGATCGCGCAATCTGGTCGGGCGGCGTCTGATACGATCTGGCAAAGGATGGAAGCATGGGGAAATCCGAACATTACATGGCTCCCGCTATGCGTTTATTCCATGTAAGCGGCGTCTTGCCTTCCCTTCCAAGAAAACGGCACGTCTACATATACGTGTGTTTTGCGTACTTTCCAACCCCCCATCTCATCTCCTTCAGACCCCGCATATCCCCTCCCTTACACCGTCCATCCATGGCACCCGAGTCTCCATCCATCCACCTCCATCCTGGTGTTACATAAGGGGGGGGAGGAAATGGGTCCACCCCAGTACCAGTACCATTAACACACCTGTGCCGCACGTCCCCACCACACATTGTGATGGATGTTGTCAAGCCATTGCAGCTCCTTCTGCCTCTTCACTACCGACGACAGGTCAGCCAGGGGACACGCCAGCTTGACCGAGCCACGAAGGGGCAGCGGAAACCTCCTGACCTGGCCGCCTTGGGTGAGAGGTTGAGAACGGAGATGTCCCACAGGAGTTGGATCCCGCCAACGATTACGGCGGAAGAGAGTGGTGGGTTAGAGATTAGTGAAGCGAAGGAGATCGTGTGTGTGGGGGGGCATTCCTGGACATCGAGACAGCATGGGCCTCGGTGTTGATGTGGTAAGGCCGATGTAGCACGTGAGCCAAAATGCAATGTGCGCGACCCGGGGATTGGGGGGAGAGAAGAGAACGCATGGGGGAGCCACAGATGGCCCCCTTCCCTTCTGCAGCCAAACCCATTGGCATGCACATCAGTGCACGTCGGCGTGGTGGTGTTCGTGCTACTTGTCGCCAACACAGAGGGCGGCCCAGTCCCGATTGAATGGCTTCCCTGTGCAGGGGCCATGTGCATGCATACGCACGTGCGTTTGTGTGTATGTAGGTGTGTGTGTGTGTGTGTGAGAGAGAGAGAGGGCGGGATGGTTCGTAGTTTTCCTGGTTGTGAGGTCCCGTTCTGCATGGTGCTGCAGCCCATGCGGCTATTGGTGCAGGTGGTGTGCGGGTGAAGTGAGAAGCTACCACCTTGGGGTGGGCCACACATGCGCTATCGGACAGTACTACTGCTCCTCCTGGCCCACTATTGCCGAGATCATGCTGCCCTCTGAACGCCCCCGCTACTGCCGCCACTACTGCTGGTGACTGCTGCTGCCGGTCTCCGGGGCACAGGTGTGTGCAACCGGTCGTAAGTATAATGACCAGTGTGTGGGGTACGTCACAGGTGCAGCGCGATGTTTATGTAGAGAGTGTGCACCATTCCCAATGCCCTCCGGAGGTGAATGTTCGTTTTCCTTCGTAACAAAACGCAACGACGCAAGTATCACGTCACGTCACGTCTTATGACTCGAGCTGCAATGGAGCCAGGGGCCCCTGCACGGGGGAGCCCCGGGTTGCGGGTGGTGCACGTGGCCCACATGTGGTTCGCGCCTCTACCTTTCCGGTCGTTGTTGAGGAAGTTGCAGCTATCAAGAACCAGGTTGTGGCTTCTGCACAAGGAAACGGACGCCTTGGCCGTGTTGTTGGCTTGCATGAACGGCGCCGTGTAGCAGTCGACGGCTGATTCGCATGGCGTTTGGCTGTTCGCGCATGATGCGCTGCTCCTGTGACGTGGTTCCAGACCGCAGACGGTGTATCGGCTCCGTCTTATCTTCTCCAGGTAGTTGGTGGCTAAATGTCTGCTGCACTTCGCGCTGGATTCTGACACATCCTCCCGCCTCTTGAGCCGGTATACTGCCTTAGAGACGAAAGCCGAGGGCTGGGGTAGCAGGCTTGATCAGCACGCACCCGCAGGCGACATCGGCTTGGCATTGGGGTTGTGGTAATCACCTACCTGAGACAGCAGAGTGCGCCCGCTTGTGCTTCGCTTAGCTGTGTCATGATGCCTTTCAAATTCTTCATTTCGACAATGGATTGAAACCGGAATGCTGAATAGCAGCACAACTAAATGGAGACAGTACGCTCTTTGCTTCCTAACCTCCATTGGACACTGTGTTTTTTTTCCATAGATACGAGTGACATAGGACGATGTGAATCACATTCCCCATACTAATATGAGAATGGTCCAAAATGTTCCACCTTTGGCACAGGTGTCGATTTTAAACATCAATGCTGTTCTGCTATTATTGTCAGATGAAAGTAGTAGCAATTTATAGAGTCGTCTCCATTAGGTTGTGGAAAGACGTCGCCGTCGCAAAAGGTTAGCTGCCGAGTCAAATCAAAAAAGTTCGTCCCTCGGATTGTTATCTATGCTCCAGGCTGAAAGAGATACATAGAAAACGTATATGTGCAAACATCACCTCCATTATCAACAAACATTGTACATTGTCAGCTTGCAAGCCATATAGGTGCCGGCGGCACCTATACGCGCACGCACTGGCTTTCGTACGGAGGTCAAGTCCGTAAAGTCAAATGTAAACCGTGTACAGGTCGCACCCAATTCAAAAGCGCACGTGCTACAGGCAGATAAGCGCCTGAATGTTCCTCATTCCAGCATTCCCCGCCGATTGGCGTGCCCGTCACTGGGCACACTAAGTATTAGGTCTCACTCTTAGTCACTTTCGCCGTCAAGCTATGAAACAGACACGACGCAAGGGCAAGACACAGTATAAAGTGAGCAGTAAAAGAAGTTCCTTTATCGGAGCAAGAACGCCTGCAGGAGTCACAGGGCACCAAAAGTAATGAGGTATCACTGTAGGGCACTTGGCCGTCACTTGGCCGGCTATGAAACGGACACGACACAAGGGCTGGACACAGTATAAAGTGAGCTCTATAACAAGTCCATTTACCAATTTTTTTCTACTACGGCTGTCATTATTCGACTCTTGGCAGGGTGAATCCTCATAAGGATATTCCTTCGGCTCGTGAAACAAGGACCGAAATAATGTTTATTTCAAGAGGTTCTGGCCGGCCGTTTCATGCTCAGGGCTGCCCACCAGTTTGCAAGGTTTTTATAACTTAGCGAGCTGTATGTCTTATCATAGTGAATCTATATTATGTCGCTACATATATAGCCCATTTTGCAAGGAGCTCGAGCCAATTGGTAACGTCCATTGATGGACGCACCGTCCAAAACAGAGTAGGACGGTTCGCACTCGCCTAGTTCACCCTATGAGCTGAGAGGTTGCGTGTACCTGATATTCGGGACGCTCTTGCCTTCGATCAGGCGTGCATTCCAGTTGCACATGGACGTCTCACGTGGCCTCCACACCAAAGGTCTGTAACACCTAAGCACCCAACTAGGGAGCCGTGGTTCTGAATGGCCAGTGTCGCTGTAATCCCAAGCAGTCACACCTGCAGTGGCAGCTAAGCCTAAGCCCCTTTGCTTCGCAGCTGAACGGTCGAGGATTGAACGCAGTGCGTTGGTCCTGTAGTACCCAGCACGGGCATCCTTCACCCACATCCTGCCTGTAATCTGCTGTGGTGAGCACGCCAGCGGAAGTGGTTGCAGTCACGGCAACGTGAACGGTACCCAGTGGGCTATTACCGGTTCGATGAGTAATGGTGTCTTGTTGTATCGGATGTAGCAGCTGCTATGGTTTACATCAATACTCCTTTGGCATTTCGCAAATCTTTCTGAAATTGCCAGTCCGATTTCTTTGCTCTTATAGCAGAAACTGTTAATGTAACGCAGTTTATACGACTTACGTTCTATGCTTCCGGCGCAGCACGTTTCCGTACTTTGATAGGTGTTGCAGGAACGCAATCCTAATGTCTCGCTTTGCCGGCATCAGACAATTGCAGATAGGAATATATGCCGCGTAACTCTGATATCATTCGGCCTTTGAGAAACAAAGAAGCAGGTACCGCGCACTTACGATACGGACCGCAAATCTCGTTCCTTACAATCCTTGTGCGTTCTGGCTTAAATAAAGGATACGGCTCTGAGTTCTGTGACGTTAGAGTGTATAAATGTCGGTAGCAGCTCACGGAAGCCTCTCGTTCCATCGGCACATTACATTCTATAGTCCATTGCCCAAGAGGCACCCGAACATAGTTCGACACACTACTGCCGATAGGCTCGCATCAATTGACCCAGGTGTACAAAGCTTGCTAGCGCGCTTCGATAGGGATGGCGACGGCCAGTTAACTTACGCGGAAGCAAAAGAAGCCTTTGCAGCCCTACAGGTAAATTAAACCTACCGTATCGTCACATGCCTGCATGCACATAACCTCAACAGCTTACCTAGAAGTACTTAAGCTGACTGTACATGGCGCTCGCGTTGTTCGCGTTGGCATTTAGACGTCCTCAAGGAAGATCATCTTCCTTCGCTGTTACTGTTTTTCTTTTCTGCGCTCAATCGTGTTGTCACGTAACTCGCGCGATGGTCTTCTCGTTGTGCAGGCGGCCATTGTTGCTGCGGACGTGGCCCCGGTTCACTCCAACCCCGCTGCGGCACCACCCCCAGTGGCGCCCACAGCCGCCATTCCCCTAACATGGGACCTTCAGGTAGGCCTCCCGGTGTGGCGCCGTCAGCACCGCTCCGGCGCAAGCGCTAGGTCACACCCCGCTAACGACGACGGAAAGCGCCCCACACGACAATGTGAGTACCTCCCTCCCTCCCACCTTCCTCCCTCCCACCAACCCACCCTTTCAGACTCAGGCAAACTTCCCCTCCCCGACCCCCCGACCCCCATTCAAGGTCCTCCACGGCACCCGCGGTGCTCTATCCCAAGGCCGGAGCCCACTTGCCGCGCTGCTGGCCTTCATGGCCACCAAGCTCAGCAACACCGGCAAGGCACGTGCTGCGGCATCCGACCTGTTGTGGTCCTTCATGGGCATGTTCCTGTCCGTGACGGCGCTGGGCGTCATGAACCTTCATGTTCGCAGCTGGCCAGTAGTGGGCGAGTGGCACCAGCAGGTGCGATGGTATGCTGTGGGATGCCGTCTAGGTACCGGTGGTCGGTCGGCGGGCACCTGGGGGGCATTGGTTACTTAGGGTCGCCGCCATATTTCCCGCCACGGGCCACGGCGTTTCGGACCCTTGTACATGCGGGACTGTGACTGCATCCCGGGCGCGGTTGATATGTGGCGGATGTCTCGCGGTTTGGTCAATGTCCTGTTTAAGCAACTGGCTTGGGGGGGGAGGGTTTCGGATATAAACGTCGGCCCATGCGGGCTGGGCACTACTTTGGAAATGTGGGTAAACGTCGTTGTCGAGCCCACCTGCCAGGTCGGCAGCCGCACCCAACTCAGTGCACCGCAACCTCGCCCCTCCGATTTGGCGGGTCCTACCCCACCTTGACATCGGCCCATCCCCAACCCCTCTGCACTCCTGAAATAAATATTTTATCAACTCGATAAAACAACCCGCGCAGGGCTTGGGGCTGCTACTGGGCTCCTTTGGCACGCTGTGCGTTCTCATCTTTGGCCGCCCCGAGGCGGAGGCCGTACGGGTGTGGAACCTGCTCGTGAGTACCGTACACTGCCGTACAGCACGGCGCTCGGGGATGTAGTTACATCATGTCACGCGCCGATGGCCCCACACCTGCGCGGCCCGTGAATGCGGTGCTGGAGGAATACACACCGGACTACAGCACAGCACAGCACAAAATGGTTATGTTGTCGGCTCCCCCCCTCTTTTTCCGCTTCGTGTTTTCACAGTCCTCCTCCTCCTCCTCCTACTACTCCTACTACTACTACACCTAACTCCCCTTCTACCCCCTTCCTCCTAGCTCAACCCTTTGTTATACACTTTCCGAGTGCCCACCCACCGTTGTGTGACACGCCGGGGTTTCAGCTAAATTGGATTTAGATTCCAGGTCATCTCAGTGCAGCTTGAGCGGAAGTTACCGGTTGATTGAAATTGGTTTCGTGGCTGGCAATCCACCCAACCCGCACCTCCCTGAGGCTGCCAATCCATCACCCTCTCTCATCACCTGTCCGCTCCCCTCCCTTCCTCCCTCTTCTCATGGCCCCGTACTTCCCCCGTGCTTCGTCGTGTACCCTCTTTCCCCCGTACGCACGAGTTGAATTCTTTCCACCGACACTCATTCCCTTTCTGCTGGCGCCTGCTATCGGCATCGGCATCGGCAGGCGGGTCACGTGATTGCAACGGCCACCGTTCTGTCGCTGCTTCACGTGCTGGGCCCGAGCATCCTCAGTCGCGCCCTGGCCATGGCCTCCATGATCACCTGCATGCTGTGGACGGATTCGGTGCACCCCCCCGGGGGCGCACTGGTGCTCATGGCCGTGGATTCCACGGCCATTCAAAGGATGGACTGGTGAGGTGGTGGTGGTGGTGGTGGTGGTGGTGGTGGTGGTGGTGATGGTGGTGGTGGTGGTGGTGGTGGTGGTGGTGGACATTGTGGACGCAGCTGCGGGTAGGTGGTGGTGGTGGTGGTGGTTACAGCCTGTGTGTGCCACACACAATCACATTGTAGTACGTTGTCGTACCATGCAACCTGTTGACTACTGTTACATATAATACATGCACTGCACATGCGCTGCACTGTAACCAACGCAAAAACCACCAAGGGGACACATTTCCCTTTGTTCCCAGGTCAGAAGTCATGTCTCCCGGCACACGCACTCACGGGGAGGGCTCCTTGTATGGCCCGGAAGAGGGGGCACCAACCTTGTTTGTTTGTGTCGGCATCGCACACAGTTGATGAGCAGTTGATGCAGGGGGTCCCCTCTTCTTGGCCTTGTCCGCTGGTTGGCTAGTTACGGCCTAATAACACGCCCTCGGCTCAGAGTTCTTTAGTCGGGATGCAAGAGGCGAGTGATGCTATAGTTACTACTACAGGCTTTTGGTTGGGACGCAAAAGCCTGTAGTAGTAGTAGTTATAGCATCACTCGACTCCCCGGCGCGCATCGCCACCACCCAGTAGTAGTAGCCCATATTGCCACTATAGCGACGGCTCTTCCTGCTCGCTGT